CCAATAATAAACAAAGATTATAATATACTATTGCCTTCTCTCTCTATCATTCTTATTCGTTCTTTTTCTTTACAAATAAGAAATAACGACAATGACGACGACAATAACGCGTCGACGAGTATAAAATCGAATTATTTACTGCAAAATAATAATAATATAATTCGACTAGTCGAGTACTCACAGTAGCAACAAGCGTTCGGCGGCGGCGAAATGAACGGTTTGTTTGCCGACAACCCCCCCCCCCCCTTCCTCTCCCAGCACGAACGTCATAGGAAAAGTGGTACAGAATTTTCTCGATAAAATAAAAATAATAATGACGAAAAAGACTATCAACGGGTTGATGGGGTACCTGCAAACACCAATGGAGGAGGGGGTGGCGTTGCACATTTTTAGAATAAATACTTGTTAGTACCTGTTATATTACGCTGTAATAATACCTACATATTATCTAACATTATTAACTGTTTTAAAACTCGCTCGAAAACGTCGACACAAAAATGACGATTAACATTATTTTTTAATGAATCATAAAAGAAATGTCAGAAGCCGCGAATTTTATGGCACCGGGTATACTATGTTCTACCTGCAGCTGCCGAATTCGAGGGTGGTGGCGCCAAAGTGCCTAAGCCGCCGGAACACTGTGGACACGACGACGACCCGGCGGTCGAGTCCGCAGCGGTCGAGTGTCTACGATGGTGGCGGTGGCGATGGTGATGATGATGGTGATGTCGGTGGTGGTGGCTGTGGTGATCATGTTTGGCCGCCGCCACCGCCACCGAAGACGACTTCTTGTGCCGGAAAGACCTTATTTTCCGGCTCCACCGGCTCAACCGGCCCGGCGACGAAGAGTCCGAAGAACCGTCGGAGTCGGCCCCGCCGCCGCCGGTCGTACTGCAAGACGCGTCGTCGGCCGCCGATGAGTCAGACGAATCACTGTTGTTTCCGGCGCTGCTGCTGCTGCTGGAGCTGCTGCTGCCACTGCTACTCGACCAAAAACCCATCGTCGTCCGACGTTAAATTTTGTTTTACTCGCACTACACTCTACTGGACACCCGGACAACCGTAAAAAACCAATATCGAGACCCGCGATTATATATACCGTACGATAACGGAGAAACGATGTAATATAATATGTATAGCCGAGTACAGCGTAAACGATGTACAGAAATTAAGCGCGATACGCTGAATGATGACCGTCGTCGTGTAGCGGACAGTCGTGCCGCGCGTCTGACCGGAAAAACGTCGTCGACGTCAGGCTGCACGTCGCTGCACCAGTTCTTCACTCGCTCTCTCGCTTCTAGGACGCGCGACGGTGACAAACTGTGAACGCGCGCACACTCACACACGGGCGTGACAGAACTTGGTGACCGGCCAAACGTGCGCGCGACACTTGTCCGAACTGGTGTCGTCTCCTAGTTCAGCGAGCGCGCGCACACACTCACACACACAAAGTGCACTGTGTGGCCGCCACGGTAATATCATTACATTATATCCTATATGTATTGCTATAATATATAATTATACAATCTATATTATTTACTAAATTACTTCAGTCTATCCGTCTAATTATCATCTGTACGACTATAATATTATGATAGATGAGTTGAAAAAAAAATCCAACAGGCACCTCTATTAGCGTAAAATTATTTTAAATAATAATTAATGACGTATCTACACTATATTTTTCCGCCGCAAAATGTAGTGATAATCAATAAGTAATATAGGGAAATAAACGTACAGAAATGTAAAAACAAACCTTATTCAAAATTCAAAAGTATAGACTTCGAATTTTTACCCAAGAAATCTAAATATATATATATATGTATGTATGTATTTCGTTATATACATATAACTTTTGAAAATAAACTCACACGAACTTCACATTTAAAAGTTAAGACAAATCTAAAAAAAAATTGAACATTATCAAAATACTTTCAAGCACGAAATAGGCACTGACAAATAACCTGATAAAAATATACATATCATTAATCAGATCAATTTTAGATGACGAAATTAAACGAATTACCTATTTATATATATATAATGAACAGAAAAACACGCATTGTTAAAATGACTTGATGTTATTCATAATATATGTGGCCTTAAGAATGGCAATAGTTGGCTTTTAAAGCAGTTCCATAAACAGCAAACTTAATATTACAGGAGAACACCCATTAATAGTATACCAATAGATCAATTATTGCTACAATACGCAACCAATATAATATAGCAACAGACCCAAATAAACATACTTATGAAACAATTTTCTAAATCGATTTGAAAATACTTTTAATAACGCCAAATTAATATAATCTATATACAGAATAATTTTATAATAAACAACGCATGGACTCAAAATATACATAAAAAATGTAATGATCACAGAAGTAATCCAAAGGCAGAATGGACAACAACAAAACACTTATTTAATATGTCAATTTCGTCCAACAATGAAAAAGAAACTCCAAATTAAGTAAACAAAAATCTATATGAATGAATAGAGTATATAATATAATATGGGTTCACATATAAATATATAAAGATGCTTCAAAAAACAAAATGAGTGGACATTGTAGCAATTATTCAACAAACTAAAAGCCACATATATGGACAACAGCAAAATACTTATTTTATATGTCAATTTTGTCCAACAATAAAAAAAAAAGAAACAAAAAAATATACATACAGATGCTTCAAAAACAAACAAATGGGTAAGGATATTGTAGCAATTAGGTATTCAACCAACCGAAATATCTATAGGAAAATATCTGAAAATTGTATATACACAGCTGAAGCACTCGTAATACATAAAGCTACATCGTATATAGTCAATGTCAACCCGCAAAATAAAAATTAGCAAATATTAACGGACTACATGAGCGCCATAACAAGCCCTATTATAACAGTAATAACGATAATAATAGTATTATTAATAAAAAATCAACAGCTGATGCAATTAACAATAATATAATTGTCTCAATGGATACCGGGGTACTGCAGCTAACTGCAGATTTATAAATTGTAAATGCGACAGTACTTACCAAAGAAAAACCAAACAACCAAGAACACTACTATTCAAGCTACATACCTTTAAAATATAAACTTAGATGGTGATATATAAAATTTATAAACTATTGATTAAAAAATAAATGACAAAATAAACGGTCAAATATAAGGAATAAATTTAGTGAAATAATAAAAGTAACAGAAAAATAGAATAATGGAACAAGCCGAAGACGAGTTGAAGTCGTAAGAAGCCCCCTGAGAATATGTCATACACATTACACAAATACTCATTATTTATCTTATGAAAAATGAACCATAGATAATATGTAATATATGGAGATATTACACATATTAAACATATTATAGTCACTCAATGTAGGCACAAAAAGCTCATTAATAATCAAATACCTTCACGGCTTACTTGGGCATGGGCGAAGATCACTGTAAAAATGTGATATAAATCAGCAACTCGTTAATTTGTACAAATTGGTTTAAGTTTTTTTTAAATATAGCTATAATTATTATAAAATCACAAGCCAATGGTCTAGCTATCGAGACTTTAACAAAAATAAAATGAATATAGATTTTAGATATTTTCAGTATTTCACAATTGTCAAGAGTTGATAATAAAACAGAACAAGGAAGTATAAAGTTAGTATAATAATGACTCTCGTAATAGATATACCAATATGCCATATTATATAATTTATATATTATAAATAAATAAATACTTCCAGAAAACGAGAGTGGCATGTTTACTTTATATAATCCATATACGATCGATATAAACTTTGACTATTACTAACATAAGTTTGAGGCTATCTCTGATTAATGAATAACATTTGGATGTTGACAAATGATTTTTCGCCGCCATTCAAAACAAATTAATGGACCGCATGATATCGAAAACAACGTAGTTATATGAGCGTGATATTCAAGCGACGTTCGAGAATGGGTTTTTAATGTCTTTAGTTTTATTCAATATATTATCAAGATTGTGCTGCAGTATATATAATATAATTATGTGTATGTGCGTTTGTGTTTATCTCTTGCTTAACTGCAGAAGACAATATATATAATATATTCCTGTAAAACGCAAAGACTTTGATTCGGCGTATAACTGCATTAATTTTGAACATCAGATCAAATAAAAATACGGTACAACACTGTAATTATAATGCCGTATTTTACATATTTATATATGATATACCTGCTGTCATCGCCGGCTAACTAATGAAGCACATGCTCGTTATTAGTCTATACCATTGTCATATCATGTAATATATAATATACGTATAGAAATGATTGAATTATTTTTTACCCGCAGGCTATTATAGTTTACCTAAATAAATATACACTTTTATATACTGTATCGATTTTTGTACGGAGTATTAATACTTATCCAATTTTCGAGAACAATAAATACAACGCTAATTGATTTTAATCATATTATGCGAAACAAAACAAAATTGCACATACCTATTATTGTTTAAACTAAAAGATTTAGATACCGATTATGGTGAGGCGGCGGTTTTCGGTATAATATACAATAATAATATAAGGGAGTAGACTGCCGGATGACGGTTAAAAAAAATTAATAATAATAACACCTTAACAATGTCACACAGTATTGCAGTAGGAAACCTTGGTCGGGTGTCATCTATATATAATACATCATAATATGATGGAATACTTCAGCAGGAGGATGTTCTTAATTCGAATTGGATTCCGTACGCCGCAAATTCGGATCAAGGTCGCGGAGGACCCTAATGGCATTTTCAAACGCAAATAATGACTGCAGAGTAGAGAGATTGATTGAGAGAGAGGAGAAGCAACAAACCCGTTCAAAAGGCGATAACCGTGACTGGTACACATAATGTACTATAACATTCGAACAATTATAATATAGATAATATTATAATATATTATAATATCTGTAGCCATGCGAAAATTACGATTATTATAATTGGTGCTGGCAGTAATAACACGTGCAATAATATAATTTTAATAGTAATAATATCGATATTATTGTATGGTTGTAAAATAAATCAAAGCCAGCAGGTAGACAGTAATATGGGTATCGTGCAAAATTAACTGCAGCTCGAATACATATTTTATGCATATACATGAATAAAATGTACAGAAAGTGGTCAGTCATTTTTTATATCTCGCCAAAAATGACTGTACAATTACAGACCGTCACAATTTACGTATATATTGTATAATATAATAAAATGTAACATAAACAAAAGCAAATGAGTTTGTGTGTGTAATGTGTATATATGTAACATATGTAACGATGGTCAATGATATAAATAAACTGATACAGTATCGTCATTTGTTTAGAATTATTTGATGCATAAAGTTAAATAGAACGATGGCGCTGTATAGGTTTGTGAATTAAAATGTTGGTACGACTTTAACTGAATCTAGTTAACCCCACGGGTACCTAAATAAATTAAATCGAAAAACGGATTAGGTTTATAAAAGGTATACGAAACATGAATAATTTTCTTTTTAATGGTTAATTCGATATTTTTTGATAACACGATATCGATATTTGAAACTGTCGTTGGCCATCACTATTCACTAGCAATATACATAAAATCTACACACACGCAAACACACAAGATCACGCAAATTACGACATATCGATTTGGCGCGAGAATATAACAAAAATAATATTGAACGATATATGCCAAACGTCAATGAAAGGGATTATTTTTAAAAAAAACGCTCGCGCCAACGTATACACTATATACACACACATATATGTATATATTAACTAAAAGAAAATTAGGGTCATCGCTAAGTTTGTAGATATTCAGAATTTTGTGGTACATTTTTTTGGGCAATAATAAAAAAAAAAAACTAATAAATGTCTTGTGGAAAAAGCAAAAAAGGTTGTGTCAGTCTGAAACACACGGTCGTATTGCAGAAATAGAATTTGGACGGCGGCCAAGATATGGATGTGTGTGTAGGTACATACGAGAAATAACACGAAGACAGAGGAGGAGAAAAAAGACAAGAGACGCGCGCGTGTTACCGCATAATACCATTATTATATTGTCCGAGCGTGTAGCGAGATGACCCAGTTGGGATTTATTGATGTGGTAAGTCGAAACTCACGATGGATCTCAAGAACAAATTTATTGACCCATCATTACAATATCAAAATACAAACACACGGGCTGAATTCAAGTTTCAGTTGTTTTTTTCCTCGTGCTTTCGCACTAATATATATATATATATATAATATATGCCCAAATACTGGTTGTCTCCAATTCACTTCGTTGTTGTGGATAAAAAAAAATAAGTTGTAAGTCTTTTAGACCTTTTATAACGCTCACGCAAATCGAATATTTTTTAGTACATAAAAATAATATAGGAACGTTATTACATTGATTCTCGAGGACTTTTTTTTTAGTGTACTGCAGCAAATAATATATAATATATAATTTAATAACTTTTTAAATGTATAATATACATAAGATTTTAAACAACAAGTTTATAAGTCAAGATTCTATGTATCTAATGAATAATAAACATATACAATATTAAAAAACAAAGTTTCTATCTAATTCCTACAATAACATACTACATAACTATAGGTGTTGTTATACTCGTATAGTCGTATTTATACTGTATAAGGCGTAATTATAATAATATGTACATATAGCATAATTATAAGTGTTCATTAAATGATAATTTTATATAAGTCACGTTTATTAATATAAAAGTTAATTTAGTGTTTTTCGCGTCGTTAATATAATGTTACGGCATTATTAATACCGCGTGCATATATATTATATAGTATTTTATAACTGCGACTAGATAATATAATGTCGTCGAGTTTTAATGAAGTATATTTTTCAACCAATTTGTTCAGACCAATTCAAATTATGTAATTAAATCATAAACATGTTGGCGATGGATGCAATTTTACTTCCAAGTGAAAATGGAAAATCATCAAGACACATAAAATGACCGCGTAAACAACATCCATCATCTATAACATTTCAAGTTTCTAAGGTTTTTTTTTGAGCAAAAGGCATATATACTTAACAAAAACTATCCATCTTACATTCTTACGTTAAATTTTATGAGCGATGTTTTTCTTCTACCAGCAACAAATACAGTTAAGACGATTCAAACTTTGGGTCAAGTCAAAATGTTCACTCTTCTTAGCGGTTTATCATATGCACGAATACCAGATATAATGTTATATATATGTAGTAAGTATACATGGGAATATGCACCGTCATGTTTGATAAATCTGCAGGAATTAGGTGCCGGTGATGAATAATACCTGAATGTGAATTTTCAAATGGAAGTTCTTGCGTGTCGAAATATTGCATTTCCAAGCCATTTTATTTTTGTAACTAAAAAAAATGTCAACCGTAAAAGTTATATAAGCTATTGAGAAGTTCTCGTCCGAATATTGAAAAACGACATTATTATACACATTGGCCCGTTTTGCACAGCGTGCCCTATGTTTCAAATCATATGCGAAAATTAATGTGTTACATACATGCGTTTATATTATATAGACGAGCATTACGAGCCTAATCAACTGCAAAAGTCGTTAAAGTGAAAATATACTAATCGTTTAAATAACTTAGATTCAGCATGAAGTGAATTTTGAAAAAAGGATAATAATTTAAATTAACTTCGTAGTGAATAAAAAAAATTGTTATCTAAACTTATATAACGTTACATTTTATATGAGTCAATATTAAACTGTTTGGTTGGATAAAGAACAAAATGAGCAATCGTCTAAACTTAAGTAGGCATGGAACAAAAGTGGACTATAAACTAAGTAGTTTATAAACATAATATACGACCTAACTTTATCCATACAACATTATTTATAAACAACGATTTAGGATTATTTTCATATACGATAAAAACTTGATAAATTTACAGAACATTCATCTTGCAATAGAAAACACCGTGAAATATTGTTCGACAATACAGTTAAAAAATAAAATGTGTGATGGTAAAGAAAAAGCTGGTGATTATTATTTGATATTTGATTAAGTATACCTTTTCGACAATTATTCATTTTTTCGAGCGATCAATCAGTTATAAACACAATTGTATTTAATATAATACATACTACCTATTCAATGTATACGTAACATTTTACGAGAAACACTATTGTAATAATAATAACAACGACCGCGGAAATCACTGCATAGTGCATACTATATTTAATGTAAGAATAAAACACCGACAAATTAACTGCGACACGACGACAGCAGAGGAATGACTATAGCGCGATGAGCTGAATAGTAACAGACCGCCAGCTGTTGGATTCTAACATTGACTGGCGTTTCCGGGCAAGGCGCGATGATCTCTTCCCGCGTAAATATAACATAATATTTGATACGATCACCGGCTATAATAACCACAGTTCGCAAACGCAATTTATATTCATCAATTACGTCCCGCAGTCCAATCAGAACGAACGGAACTATAGTATATATAATTATATGATAAAAATAAGAGTTATAAACCTGATAGGTGTCAACAATTAAGAAGGAAAATCGGACAGAGTATAATATAAAATATGGCACCTATCTGTCATACGTGTGATCTACCTATTTGGAAAATAGATCGGACAAATTCAATACCAATTAGAAGGGGTAGGTATTTTAAATTTTGAGCGGAGCGATAAATGTACCTATATATATTTGTTTTACAATGATGCGTTTTTGTTGTGCCTATCGCACCACTTTTTGGAACAGTAGGAACTAAAAGTAACTCGACGTTGTGATACAAAAAATATGGATAAAAAAATATCAACATTATGTTAACATGTATAAAATAATATAAACTGAAAGTTAGATCACATATAAAAATGGTAGTATGGTCCCTTAAAAAATATAAGATTTATCAGAGTAAGTTCATCGATACCAGTTTTTCAAGTAATCTTTATTCAGATATGTTTGTAAATCTGATATCTGCAAGTTAACTATATACACATAATCAAAACGAAGTTACAAAAATTTAAAATGTTACATGATTTTATTTTATGATATTATTTACATATTCCTATGTAGGAATATAAATATATTATGTACCTACCTACTTGCAATATTACGAGTATACGACATAAACTATACAATATATTACAAACAATAAAATAACATCTATGGTCATCAATACAGTGCACGCGATTTAACCGAAACCACGCGTATACCATCACATGAGATGGAGTATTAAAGCTAAACAGATATAAACGTTTTATTCAAGAAGACCATGCGGCCGACCTATATACAATATACGCATGTAATGGTAATATAATATGTAAGTACAATAGTCGTTTGCATAATATATACGTATTGACGAATATAATACATTAAATTGGACGGACGAAAATTGCGATGTCAACGCGATAAAACTTTTTCCTTTATACTTATATACTGCGTTATATACATTTGACATCTGTACGTGACTTATATATTATGTACATCGTTTCATTCGTATATAAATATTTTTTTTAGCCATAATGTATATGCTACCCACCCCCTCCCCACAAAAATATAGTCTTAAAAAAATACTTACAATATGGTTTCTTGACTACATGATTATTACCCGAGTGGTATATTTTTATTTATTGCCAACTTGAAAAAGTTTTTAACAAATAATTTATTGACTTCCTTAAAATATGTGGGTTTTTTATCATAATATTTTTTAATTAAGTCATTTTACTTTTTTTTAAAACACCATACATTCATATTCCAAATTAGAATATACTTTTAGAATAATATCCATGTACCTGTAAAAATCGAGTTTTGAACCAGATGTTAATTAGTTATAATTTTTTTTATGTTTGGTTCAGATCACGATATAAAATACTAAGTAATAATAATAATAATAATCACCGTGCATAGGGGGGGGGGGGCCTTTACGCTGGAGCCTAATGATACATAGGCATTATATGTATAGACAGTCGCGACGGGGGACTGGGTGAGTGAGTGCGCTTGCGAAATAATAATGTGATCACAAGGCGGCGGCGAAGGCTCAATAATATCATTGTTGTAACCGGCCGAAAACGACGATTCGCGATGTCGTTACGGCCGACCGTCTCGGGAACGTCGCGCCGTCAGTAACGGCGCCGGAAGCGATACACGTCGCGCCGCCGGGAGCACGCGGCGCGCAGCCGAGCGGCGTTTCGTCGTCGCGGTTGTTCCATCGATTTGACTGCGGCCGCAGTGCAGCCTCCTCCGCTGCCACCGTATTCTCATCAACCACGCACCGCAATGACCCTGACCTTCGGACGTATTTGATCTCGTTCTTTTTTATCCCTTGCCAACACGTCCGAACACCGATTCGTTTGTGAGTAGAAATAACAAAATCAAAGTTTCAACGGTTCGTTGTTCAGAAATTATAAAGGATATTAGGATATCATCGATACGTACCACAGTCTATCAGAAATTATATTACAAATTACAGGGGCGAACGTCACAATTTCATGCGATTTTCTGGATGTCGATAATCGTTACACGGACATGACGCACAAACGCACAAATGCAAAACATAATTTTGTATAGTATCATACGAAAAAATGTGTGTGAACTGTGAAGTAACCACACACAATAATGCAATATTATACACAGTGATAATTTTGTTACAAACTTAGCAAGAAATGGCATGGAAATACAACATTTTTAATATTTATTTAGCATTTAAGAACACAGTATTGTCAGTATTTTTATTTTTTATTTAAAAATGTATATTATTTCTTAAGATATTTCCTGGTTTATCACGCAGATATTCCCGTGTATAACAATTTTAAGCTAACGTAAACAGTCTTAAGTCAATCCACCGTGCGTATCACCGGTAAAGCGGCTGCGGAAAGTTTACATTTTAAACACGAGTCTTGTAACAACAACGACGACAACGACTGCAATTATAGCATCATCGCCACCGAGACGATATCAAGTCTATTACAATTTTCCTTTTGTAAAACAACGGCTAGATCTACATCTAAAGATAGACATTTATCATACACCAACAAAATATGTAATAAATTGTTTTAAAACTTTTACTTTTGCGACGCATATGTATATTTAAAAACAAATATTTTAACGTTGCCTACGTATTTGTTTCTGCATAAATCTTATGCAATCATTAATTTTTTCTCATCGATTTTAATTTATAAATCATAATCAATATTTTTTATCACTATAAATACTCAGTAGTATATTTACTCGGTAAATGGAATATTATAGCTACCTTGATACCTAAATTATTATTATTATATAGCTGTGTAAATTGTAAAATGATGCGTCGATTGAGTGGTGTGCGGGTAGCGCGAAACCCGGAACACTTATGCATAACAAACGAGGAGCTTAACAAATCCATAGAAATTTAATTTTAATTTTAAATAAGTTCACTTCATCCCTTTAATTTAGTTTTCCCATTAAAATACTGTATACGCAATATATTATGTATAGTTATTACTATTATTACTACTAATATTTCTACTACTATACCACCGCAAAGATTCTGAACTCATAATCTCTGTAGAAATGGGTACTCAATGAAATTAAAAGTATATTCCATTTTTTTTCTTCATAAAATAAGCTACCGATGTTCACAATTTAGATACCTATATTAAAAATAATATTATATAAATAGCTTGCCACGCCTACACAATGGATAAATATATCATGGACAAATAACAATAAAATAGTAAATTTTCTTTTAAAAATGTGTTATTCAATAACTCGGATGTATTTTATAAATACGACATGACCAAAATCTTAGGGGTATCCATACATGTTACACATTCTAATAAGATTTCGTAAAACATGTCACAGAATAAATATTATTAATACGTACAATTAGTTTATATAGAAACAAGAAATACTACATTAATATAATATATGAGTCCGACGAATCACGCTACTTTATTCAGTTTTTTTTGCTGGGGGGTAGCAGAGGATATCAACTCTTACATTTGTAACAATCTTTTATTCAGCATTTTACCCCTTGCCTTCACCCGTACACAAAGCCCAAGTCGGAAAATCGGTAAGTCTGCCCTAGTTACTGAAGTAACGACACTGACAACATATTATAAAGTTATACAATTCAAGTACCCGCGCAGCAGAGATGTACCCCATTTTATAAGCCGGCTTATAGGGCCCTCCCCCAATCTATTTTCCATTCAACGATACTACATCCACAAGGTATCAATATTATAAATAAAATAAAATTATAAGTATTGTATTCAAATACTATAAATTATAAAGCGAAGATTCAATATTGTATACTTTTCACTGAATATTGGCTTTATAACAACAAAATTATATATTATATAGGCAGTGGTGTAAGTCAAATGGTTTCATTTCGACATGTCAAATATACGTTTTCGATAAGGGTACTACTACTGTTGCAACACAGCTAGTTGCCGTCCATTGAGACGAAAAATGTGGGTTTAATTTTGTATTCATCTTTTTGTCACCATTTTATATTCACTCGATTATTTTCCACTCGTTAACCCACACTCAGCGATACTCGAAGATTTCTACCACTTCACTGTTATTATAATATTGTATACCATCGGCAGAAATATAATGTACGCGTATGTGTGAATTGAGAGGACAGCAGTGATGGACTATAAATATATTTTTAAAAATATAGTATGTAACAGCGATGCGACAAATGCAGCAATCAATTAAGTTTGCTTGAGGCTCGACTGAAATTCTTCGGCTAGTCCGTCGGGAATATGGGTGGTGGCGGCTTCGGGACAACAACAAATCGTACCCGTACAATCATTACACAATATATAAATTCGCCTCATGGAATGTCATGAAATAGCGGTTATTATAAAACAGAAGACAGCACAACGCGTAGAAAGGCTGTAGTATGTTAGACGTTAGTAAAGACTAAAGGTATAAGTATACCACGGAAGAATGAGACCACGAGAGCGGGGTTAAGACTGCGAACGCGGCAAGCTCGAACAAACTGAGTTTTTGACGACGCTATACTGCGGACTTGGGGGATGAGCGGACTACGCGGAGGTAGCTTATTATAATAGTCGATACGATTTTAATTATGGTGGAGTTAACTAAACAATTTTTAAACGTTTCTATTACTTAAATATAAATTTGATTGGACGATGGGTGGGTGAGGTCGGCAGGGAACACTCTCCTATACCTATCTATTCAACCTATCATACCATTCGCACCCTATTTTAAGACCATATCGGTGCTAATGCCGATGCTCGATACCGATAGTGATCATTGTCGTCAAAATAACGACTGTCACGTATATGTGATTGCGAATATATTTATAACCGTGACACTTCGGGATTCGTTTCTTGACAGTCGTACAGATTACACGATTAAACGGGACATAGGTACATTTATATATAAGGCTATAATACCTCTTATATAACTTACGAGGTTATGGCGGTTCTTCCGTACTCCGCGTATAACTGTACACGTGCTTGGAGGAACGAGATCGATAACGAAAAAAAGATATCAGGTATTCAGGTTAGAACTACAATTTTTAACTCGAATTCTACATATAAACGGTAATATTTCTACAGACATAAACTATGTCAAAAGTTGAAAACATTTTTAAAAAATCTAGTCTACAGCCGTTTCCGAGAAATAGCACACGCGGAGGTTATTTCCTCACCTAGGTTCTTAATACTATCAATCTAAAACTTTTAGTTTAGTAATAAAAGTATAATAATTAATAATAATAATAAAAATATTATTTAAGAAATTTAAATCAACGATATAAAATATTATATAATTATAATTATTATACCAACGAGTTGACACGTTCCTAACAAGTAAAATGACACACGAAAGCAAAAAAAAATCAAACACTCACCTGCCTGCAGTTATTGAAGAAGAGAAAATGATACAATAACCTCACTATTTGGAATTAAATTTACCTTTTACACGATACACCTGGCTAACGTTGAAATCGTTTTGTCTGCAAGTATTCACCTTTTTGTGAGTAAAATATTTAAAACTGACACAGCAATTTATACACGAAAAGCCAACACGTTTTCGACCTTTGTT